TTCTTTTCGCTCTATAACTCTGCCCCTAATTGATCTAGCGCTACTAAACTTGGTATACTTACACATCTTGGGGAGGTGTGTCGCGTACCAAAACCAGCTCACTACGACCTTTATTTGACATTTACCTTGACGTTGATCGTATTTTCTTTCCGCTCTATAACTCTGCCCCTAATTGATCTAGCGCTACCAAACTTGGTATACTTACACATCTTGGGGAGGTGTGTCGCGTACCAAAACTAGGTTACTGCGACCTTTATTTGACCTTGATCATATTTCCTTTCCACTCTATAACTCGGCCCCTAATTTACCTAGCGCTACCAAACTTGGTATACTTACACATCTTGGTGAGGTGTGTCGCGTACCAAAACCAAGTTACTGCGACCTTTATTTGACCTTGACATTGACCTTGATCATATTTCCCTTCCGTTTTAAAACTCGGGGCCCCTAATTGACCTAACGCTACCAAACTTGGTATACTTACACATCTTGGGGAGAAGGTGTGTCGCATACCAAAACCCCTAAGGCAACCTATTTTAACATACTTGCACATCTCTGGCTACGCCGCCTCGTACTTGTCCTTCGTTATCTTTTCCTCTTTTTTTCCTTCTTGCTGTTCTCATCCCTGTATAATATATATAAATAGAGAGAGAGAGAGAGAGAGAGCATTGCCGCGGCGTTGAATTGACTGGTGTGCCGGACGCGAAATATTTTTCCCCAAACAGGTTTACCTATTACAGTAAAATCCTGCCTCTTGATTGGTTCAAAGGCAGGCGTGTACACATGTCTTTGCTTATTTAAGATATGTCATGTGCTATTTTACATAGACCTGTATAGCCGAGCGTTTAGAGAAGCGTCTTTACGTCTGAAAGGGCGTTGGTTCGAATCCTGTTAGGTTTTTAATTATTTTCCTGTTTTCCGTATTTTTCTAACTTTATCCATTTAACTATTGTTTTCAAAATTAATTAATTATTGTTTTCAAAATTATTGTTTTCAAACGGAAATATTTGCATGATTTATTTAC